CTTCGCTCTCACCCAAGGTGCCCAGACCTCTGGTCAGGCGCCCTTCGTCCCTGCGCCCTCTGGCCAGGCGTCCTTTGGCTCTGCGCCCTCTGGCCAGGCGCCCTTCAACTCTGCGCCCTCTGGCCAGGCGCCCTTTGGCTCTGCGCCATCTGGCCAAGCGCCCTTTGGCTCTGCGCCCTCTGGCCAGGCGCCCTTTGGCTCTGCGCCATCTGGCCAAGCGCCCTTTGGCTCTGCGCCCTCTGGCCAGGCGCCCTTTGGCTCTGCGCCATCTGGCCAAGCGCCCTTTGGCTCTGCGCCCTCTGGCCAGGCGCCCTTTGGCTCTGCGCCCTCTGGCCAGGCGCCCTTTGGCTCTGCGCCCTCTGGCCAGGCGCCCTTTGGCTCTGCGCCCTCTGGCCAGGCGCCCTTTGGCTCTGTGCCCTCTGGCCAGGCGCCCTTTGGCTCTGCGCCTTCTGGCCAGGCGCCCTTTGGCTCTGTGCCCTCTGGCCAGGCGCCCTTTGGCTCTGCGCCCTCTGCGCCCTCTGTTCAGGCGCCCTTTACTGTCCCCCCCTTCGCTTCCTCCTCCTCGCCATCCGGGTACCATCCCTCCCATCCCGGCATCATCGCTCGCTCTCACCCTCCCGCGCCTGCCCCCTCCGAGTCCGATACGTATTGTGACAACAATTACGTCGGCGACGGATACGACGAGGACATGGACATGGACCTTCGCTTCGACGACGTGCCACAGCCGCAGCCTCCCGTAACGTCAAATTACTGGGAAGAGGAGGGTGACGTCACCATCTTGAACAGCCCCCCCAAGCCCAGAGCCTCCAAACGTCGGGCACGTCAGTCTGCATCCCCCTCATCATCTCGTTCCCCCTCGCCCAAGTCATCATCATTCGTCCTTCCCCCGAAATCGCAGACCTCCCTCCACGATAGTCGCGCTGCCTTCGGCAAGCGCGTGTCGAGGACAAGCCGGACCAGCGCCAACTCGCCAAAACCCTCGTCCAGCGGCTCCTCGCTGTCGAAAACGACGATGTCGGCACCTGCCTCCACCTCCCAGACGTCACAACTCCCATCCTCCAAGGGGAAAGGGAGGCAGGTGAAACGGGTGCGGTCGGATCTTCAAGGCGACCTGAACCGGCTCAACGACGAGATCGGAAGCGTCCAGTCGGACCGGATCACTCGGGGCGAGCTCAAGAACGAGCGTTACATGGCGAAGTACAACCTCGCCCGTCAGGTAAATGAGCACAAGTTTTTGCGCGAGGAGCGTGTACACTGCGACAAGGAAGCTGTCGCCACTCATCAGCGCTCCCAGGAAGCGAAGGATACGGAGATTCGCCTCCGCGAAGCGGAGGCGAAGATGCATGCTGCGCTGGCACATGCGCATGCTGAGGAGGCAAGAGCGCTTCAGCTGAAGATTGAGTACCAACGTTTGATGAGCGGTTCTAACTCTTGAGGGTGTTGTTGTAGTCTTACTGTTGTCCTTTTGCATCACATATCTCATGCTGTCCTTCATACTACATATGTTGTTATGTTAACCATTAGTCCTGTTCATGTTATGTTGATAGTTCATGTACTACCAGTTTTCAATGGACCATGATGGTGTTTCCTCTTGGCTTTGAAGGTGTGATGCTTGACATATGTTTTCTTGGATAAGTAATGTTTGATAACCTGAGGAGATGTTAGATGGTACATATAACTAGTACACTTGCTAGGATAAGCACCACAATATTAAGCAAGTGAAGAGACTGACCATCACAGTGCTCTAGGTTTATTAGCTTTCTTTGCAACGCAAAGAAAGCTGATTTCAAACCTAAGCAGCTGTGATGGTCAGTCTCTTCACTTGCTTAATATTGTGGTGCTTATCCTAGCAAGTGTACTAGTTATATGTACCATCTAACATCTCCTCAGGTTATCAAACATTACTTATCCAAGAAAACATATGTCAAGCATCACACCTTCAGAGCCAAGAAAACATATTCAAGTGGAAATTTGTAACTACAACTGCTATCCCTGTCTACGTTGTGCCTTTGAGTGAGGGCTGTCAAACAAGAGATCCATCAACCTCTCACGACGAGCATGACCTGGAGTCCCTTCATATAACCTATCACCTACTTGGTCATTACCATCTGGTCCTTCAGCTGCCTCTTGAGACATAAAGTTTCTAGCCTCTTGACAAGACCACTTGACTGATCCCTGGTCCTCTGTCAGAGCATGTTCTTCTTCAAACCGTATGATCATGTTGTGTAGGATCAGACAACACTGAATCCAATGGACTGCTGTCCGTAAGTCATCTGCTGAATTGATATTCTGTCGGAGATCTCGAAGAGATTGAAACCGCCCTTTCAATGCAGCAAATGCATGCTCCACTCGTACACGGACCTAGATAAATCAAATTTAAATCAGAAAAAAATGGAAAAATAAAGGGACAAACTGTAGAAAGGTGATAATTGAATGTCCTCTGATTTGCTGTCAGCCGTCCATTGCGGGGCTTCTTGAAAGGGGCAATGCACCAGGTGTCCAGTGGATAAGCACTGTCTGCCCAGACCCAGTGGCCAGCTGGAAGAAGTGTGTCATGTTCTTGATAGATACGAGTAGATCTGAATGCGTATGCATCATGGATGCTTCCAGGGTGACCAAGAGAATAATCAACTATGAGAAGATTGTGGGGCATAATGACTGCCTTGAATTTATTTTAATTTTAAACCATGAAATTAAAAAAAAAAAAACATACCTGACAGCCCAGGGAATATTTGGATTTCCTGTCATAAAAAGACTGGTGATAAAATCCAGGTGTCTCATACAGGTCAATTGATGTCCCATCAACAGCTAGGACTCCATTCTGCCACTCAGGGCAAGTGGTCACCCGTGCAGTATATTGCCGAGCAAGCTCAAAGTCCTGTGAATCAGGTGGGGGAAAACCCATGAAGGCATCATGCTGGTCAAGCAGTGCAACCATTATACGATTGGTGCAGTTAACCACAGACCCAACACTAATACCAGCCCATTCAGATACATCCTGGAGAGTGGCAGAATTACCATAGTGGCCGACACGGTTGAGAAAAATAGCAAGTTGAATAGAGATAGGAAGCTGGAGGTTGTTGGAATTGTTATGAAAAATGGGGTGGCCAGAAATGAGATTGAGGATGTCATCGAAAATTTCGGGGTCGACACGTAGTTTACGACGAAATAGATGAGGGCGATGTTCCCCAAAATGGACAAGGAGGTGCAGCTGTGAGGCTCGTGGGATAGGCTCACTGGGTCTATGGAGCACACGTGCCCTCTCTACCTCATCCCGAAGACTTGCAATGGAATCTTGAAGACGGTCGTAGTGAGCAGTGGTATGGTTGATGTCATCATCAGATGAGTCATCAGAGAAAGAGTCGGAGGAAGAACTGGAGAAGCCAGATAAAACTGGAGAAAGAGGAGATGGAGGGGTTAACATGATGCTCATGAAAAGGTCAAGGTCTGAGTCACGGGTAAGATCGAAAGAGTCGAGACTCGAGGCAGAGTCTGTAGTAGACTCGTCGTCCTCCAGAAGATGTTGGTATCGGGCTGTGGCTACTGCAAGTGCAGATACATCGATGTCATGCAGCATTTGTGCACGCTTTGACTGACGAGGCATGTTGGGAATCAGGGGATCAAAACTCCTGTCTATCCCTGGCATATGTGACGCACTTTGCGGCGGAGTTTGAAAATTTCGGCAAATTCCGGTGTTTCAGCTTGCTGTGCTCATGTACCTCGTGATCATCACACCCCCTCACTCAGCACTCAACGACGCTCGCGCGCAGCCCACCTCCCTCAGCGAACCGCCAAGGGCTTCTAACATGCTAGGTACGTACAAACTCCTTCTCAACCGTCCTCCGAAACTCCTTCTCAAACGCCCTCAGCGTCTCCAGGCGTTTCACGCTGCCTACCTCCCTAACCGAGCCTCCAAGCGCTTCTATCGCGCCAGGTACTCCCTCCGAAACTCCTTCTCAACCGCCCTCCCAAACTCCTTCTCAACCGCCGCCCTCCGAAACTCCTTCTCAAACACCCTCCGAAACTCCTTCTCAAACACCCTCCGAAACTCCTTCTCAACCGCCGCCCTCCGAAACTCCTTCTCAAACGCCCTCCGCGTCTCCAGGCGTTTCACGCTGCCCTACTCCCTCACCGAACCCCTAAGCGCTTCCAACACGCCAAGCACTCCCTCACGCAGCACTCAACTCGCGCGCAGCGCACCTCCTCACAGAACCGCCAAGCGCTTCTATCACGCCAGGCACTCCCTCCGAAACTCCTCAAACACCTTCCGCGTCTTCGGGCGTCTCATACCACCTTGTGCCATCCTCCTCCAGTTGACGAGGATCGTTCCAATTTTATTGATGCACGCAGCAGTAGATTTTTTACTTTACAGCACGTACCCTCACTGTTACATGTAGATATCGACTTAGTATTTTTTTTCTTGAAATCTTATCTACTTTGCCTATGCTACTTTCGTTTCACTAAGTGTCGTTTGAATGTCCGACATCGTGCCGATGCATATGCCGAGTCTTACTGCTCGAGTTTTGTCCATCTCTAACCGAGAGTTAGCGACATTTAGCGACTTTAGCGACGATTAGCGACGATTAGCGACGTTTAAATTTTTACTCTGAGTACCTCTAGTGTCGCGAGAAAAATGTTACTAAGAAATCGTACTAATATCATGATTAGCTCATTTGGAGATCATCAACACGTCAGTTTTGGGTCATCAGTCGGATGTAATCCCACTTGTAAGGATGATATCTCGAGCTGCACGTCTATTGGATGTAAGCCTCACGAATTTACGACGTATTCACGATATATTCATAATAACTGCGCATGAAAACACTCATAAAATATTCGCAACGGTCAAAGACTCAAAGTACACGTGCCAGGATTCAGCTGGGCAAGTCAAAACAACAAGTCACATTAACCAAAGTATCAAATAACAATATTGTCAAGTTGAACCACAGCGCCAGTAAATCTACACTATATAACGCGACAAGTTAAACACGATGAAATATTTATTCTGAACCAACTGATACCAAAGGGTCGGGGTGAAAAAGCATCGCGTGAGCACAGAACTCGGTCCATATGTGATCTAGTAAGTTTTCCCCAATTTGATCTCCACCCAAATTGTCAGCGTCAAGCCAATGTTCAATGAACTGTCCCTCGAGGGGAATCCTTGGGTCCCACATTGGCCACTGGCCGCGTGGAAAATCTGGGCAAGCACCTACAAAGGCCAGCCAGAACGCATCACGGCCCCATGTCCAATGCTGCGACGCTGCCGGTATGGTGACCAGCCAATGCTGAATCTTCTCTGACAGCTGCAACCAATGAAAGGAATCCACGGGATTGAATTTCGACGGCAACGGGAGGAACGGTATGGGTATATCGACATCGACATTGTTGTAAGATAGTTCGTGTCCCTTTTCGCTCGAATCAAGGGCCTAGAATTTTTAGATTGATCCCGACATGAGAAAGTTGCCCACTTACATCGTCAAAAGTCGAGGAACATTCGGAATAGGGATATCCGTCCAAAGTGAGAGCTTCCACGACAGGAGTCATATATGGTCTATACTCCTCTGCGATTGAAACTGATATTTGGATTGGCTAAAAAGGTTTATCAGGAATTATTTCGAAGGGGAAGGAAGGAGAAGTACAACGACACCGCGAATAAGGTGTCTCGGAAGATCACCTGAAAAACATATTCCGATGCACAAAGGTTGCAACGACACATCTTCTGTATTCCGCGTGCGGATCGGTGGGTAGAACGTTGAAGTTTGAACTGTGTAGGATGGTGCAGTATTAGTACAGGTGGTTGGAAAATGGCACTGATCCATATTATCGACAATTTGCAGGTTGATTGGTCGTTGAGCGTTGAGTGAATGTTGAACGTTTGGTGACCGTCACAACTGTGACTCGAAGCAGACACGTGATCAATTGGACTTATCATTTTGGCGAGTCTCGACCAGCAGCCAGCGCTGTCAATATCAATATGGGTGAATCACAACTTGTTGATGGGACAGGTGAGTACTTTTAAGAGTCATTGAGTTATTAAAAATTCTTGTATTTATAGTTTTACAATACTGTAATCCAGCGCGGACTTCTGTCGTCTGCACAGTCTGCCCTCAGCTCAAGGGTAAATTGCGGACGATGATGCGCAGACATATCCAAAGTCACTGCAACACTGCCGTGCATATCCGACACCTATTAATGAAGCGTTCTGGGAGAATATCGGTGTCCAAAAACCCCTTCCCTCCAGAATCTCGACGACCCACACAGACGACCGACTGTGAATCCGATATTGACTCGGACGCCTCTGACATGGTTGCTGACTGTCACGACGACGCTTACAACAAACCGACAACATCTATCTCTGCACCTGTCGAAGAAGAAATGCCGCTGTCTACGCTGTGGGACATTGCATTAGACCACCATGTATACGAGATCGGTGGTGGGCGAGAGCTTTTCAACGAACTTGAAGCTTCACTACTCGAGGGCGATAAGATCATCGCAACGCCCATAGCTGCTCTCGAAGACGAGATTGGAATGCAAGATGACGATTATTTTGGCATTGAACTACTGGGTAAGTTTTTAGCATTACTGTGTTCATTCGTGCTATTGACGCAATCATAGACGAAATTCCTGTGGATTCTAGTACGAAGACAAAGGCAAATATGAAAGTTAATCCGGGCGACGCCTACTATCCTTGGTTGTCGAAGGCGGTAAGTGTATATTCTGACAGGATTCGAGGATGCTCATTGTGCTTCCAAAGCACTTCTTGACTGTGTTATTGTTTAGCTCTGCACGACTACCATTTTCGGATGTGCAGAAGAAAGCCGTACTCAGCTGGGCCAAGGAGCTGGGTGCCCATGATGTCCCGTCTCTCAAGGCTGTCAAGGAGTCAAACGAGCACATCTGTGAACTTGTCGGCAATCCAATGCGGAAAGTAACTTCAGCGTCCGGCAACGTTTTTTACATCAACGATATTTGGCATGCAATTGCAAAGGTAAACTACAAGCGCTCAGACTATCCTATGCTAACCATGTCATTTAGGACTACGCGAATCCACTCACCCGCTTTTCCATGCAAGATTATCCAGAGGATGGAGGAGATGGAATGTCGCAGGTTTTCAATGGACAGAAGATGCTGCTAGAACTGCCGTCACCTCCGGCGGCTCGTGTGGACGGCAAAATATATTTCATCAACGAACTTCTGCAGGAATGCTCAGGAGGCTTTTTTGTCCCAGAACGCTTCTTCACTGCCTCGTATGCACCAGTGAATGGCAGGGACTCACAGGATTCGTGCCAGGAGAACAAAACATATGCTATGGGCCGTGCGGTACAATACACAGACGTATGTACTAACTCTGTCTCGTAGATATCATGACAGATACTGACAGGTTGAATAGGCCGGTTTCATCGTCAGTGATGAACAAGAGATCGTTCCGGTTTCAAACTTCAGACATTCCTTTGAGGATCTCGTGGACAAGCTTGCATGCGGGGTTACCAGTAAGTACATGTTTGAGCTACAGGCGACTCTACTTAGCATAATCCTAGTGTCATCTGAAAAATACCTGAAGCTCACACCACATCCTCTACGCGAAAAGTCAAAGGGCCGGATGGTCTATTCAGTCCCTCTCATTATATTCATGGACGACGTTTCCGGAAATGTTTCAAAGCAGTGGAATAAACATCACGCGATTTACATGTCGAATGCTAACCTACCACGTGAGATGCTGGAGAAAGAGTTTTGTGTTCGATTCGTAACATCATCACCACACGCTGCGCCGATGGAATTGATGCATGCGATGAAGGAGTCTATCAGGTGCGTTCTATGCTTCTATGCTGCCCACATTTAGTCAACTCAAGCATTGATTAGCGCAGCCGCAGACTCAGGAATCTTTGCGTGGGACTGCAAATTTGACGAGGAGGTCATGCTCGTTCCTGAAGGTTTATTTCTTGCGGGGGACAATCCAATGCAGGCCGAGGAATGCAGCCACGCAGGGCTGAATTGTAATTACTTTTGCAGGACTTGTCATGTTGGCGGGACAAAGGAATACAAAGAGTCTGAGGCTGGATATGTTAGTCTTTTTACGGTGTGTTATTCAATATGAACACTATAGATTGATCTTAAGAGTGAGACAGGAAGGAACACCCCGAACACCCGAAGAAACGACATCACAGGTCCTCAAGCAGTTCGAGACCGCATTATGTTCAGGAGCCACAGGGAAGGTTGTGGCCGCCGTATCAACCACTGGAATCCGGGACTCTACTTCATCTTCCATCATCAATACGCTTGTTGAAATGGGCAAGAAGCTACGAAAACGAGATGTAGGACAGCCAGCATTACCGGAATCTGAAGTTCGTGCAAAGCTGGAGGAAGAGCTTTTGGATATATTGCAAGGTAGGACACACCGGGATGCAATCAATCCCCTTCTAGGGATGAATAGTGAGCGTTCTCAGATTTTGATGCGGGTTGTTGAATTCACACTGGTACATAGATATAAATGTTCACATGGATACTCCTACTGAGATCCTTCACACGGTTCTACTCGGCGTTGTGAAATACTTTTGGGGACAGACTGCGTTTGTGCTCGAGAAAGCTAAACTACTCACTCGTTTTCAGACACGTCTCGACTCACTGGATAGAGATGGCCTGAATGCGCCGTCCCTGAATGCCGACTACATTTGCCACTATAAAGGAGGCTTAATCGGAAAGCACTTCAAGAGTCTCGCGCAAGTTATGCCGTTTGTTGTCTACGATCTCGTTCCGAAAAGTGTTCTTGATGGATGGACCTTAATTGGAGAGTTAGTCGTTCTCATTTGGCATACGAAAATCGACAACACCGAACACTACTTGGCAAAGCTAGCTCGAACGATAAGCGATTTTCTCAATGTGACTGTGCAGTGCGCACCCAGTATCTTGATCAGCAAACCGAAATTCCATTTTTTAGTTCACCTCCCAGCTTACATTCGACGTTTTGGACCTGCTATTATTTTTTCGACTGAGCGTTATGAGTCGTTTAATCATGTATTCCGTCTTACATGCATTTACAACAATCGACGAGCTCCAAGTCGCGACACGTGCATGACATTTGTTCGCAACGACACTGCCAAGCACATCGCTACTGGCGGTTATTGGTATGACACCCATACAGAACGATGGGTTCATGGTGGCCCACAGGTTCTCACCTACCTTGAACACCATCCTGAACAAGCTCGTCTGCTTGGAATTCCTGACCAAAAACTAGCTGATCCAGGTATGGCAAATCCTGCAATTCATTCACAGACTGACAGTGCTATGATAGGCACAGGGAGAATTATAGTGACTGACCAGTCTAAGCACGAAGCCGTTCTGTGGCAAGCGACGCGCTGCACAGACATATTCAAGAAGAACGGTCTCAAAAGTCCTTCTTCTTCCGAGTACTACCAGGGAACTTCGGTAGTGACTAGTGAGCATGAAACTTCGCAATTGGGTGGGCATGTCATATTTCGAGACGCGCTTGAGAAGGTGCGTCTTTCCCCACTATGTCACTTCTAGTTTACTTACTATCAAACAGACTCGTATTGGACGCATCCGTGAGATATTAATTGCAACAGCGCCTGGGCACTCTGTCGCATTTGTTGCTCTTCAGACATTTTCCTTCATGCCTGCACGCCACCCTTTGCTCCATCTGCCATGTCTCCTCCTCACTGACGAGGAACTCATTGTGTCAGGAACGGTGAGCCTTACTACGTCTTATTTTTGTTGCATTCAATTCAAGTCGCATTTTAGGATATCATATGTATCGCCAATGTTCAGCACAATTGTCTCGATGCAAAATGCACAGAGTTAACTACCAAGCATCTGTGGCAAGAGCGGACCCAAACTGACCGAACAGCAAGTGTCGTGAAACACCAAATATCGCCACAGTATCTCCTTAACATGTTCTCCATCCATAACTACCAGCATCTCTGTTCTCTTCTCCCGGAATCCCTCTCCGAGACACCATTGCGCGTTTCAGATCCTGGAGCTGTCCGAAGAGCTGCTGTGAGACAAATGCAGGGAAAGAGGCTGGCGAAAAAGCTCGGAGGCGAGGCAGTGAGCGTGCCCCAAGATGACGATGGTGTCCGTCCTGCGTTTGATTGCGCAGCTAAGAAACAGCCCAAGACCACATCCAGGAAGCAAGTGAAGTCTACGAATTCGACGAAGCAGCAGCAGCCTGTCGAGGCATCCATGTCAAATGCCCCAGATATTCTGCACCGCCCCCTTCAACCGCATCCTCATTTTCATCAACCTGCCGCTCAGCAATACACTGCACATCTCCCCAATCCCCCTCAAGCACCTGGTCATTCAAGTTCATCATTCCCTCAATCCTCAGTACACCAATGGCGTCTCCCGCCGCCAGGGTTTGCGCCACCCCCAGAAATGTCTCATTGGGCATCTCAGGTGCCTTCCTTTTCAATATCTTCCGGCCATAGTCAGTTTTCATCTCTAACCCACCCTGCTCCACCCATTCAAGTACCCGTGCATAATCCCCTGTATTCTACAGCCTTCGAAGCTAACTCACATCAGTTACATCCTTATCATTTCCCCCAACCTTATGACACTTCTCGTCAATATTTTCACCCCTAGTGATTTTTAATATCATTTTTGATTTGATGACATGGTCAGTCGCACATTGCACACCTTTGGTTAAGTTCGAAGTCAACATGTCTAACAAACCCCGAGTGGATGGGTCAGCCCCGACCCGTGGAATCCTCCAGGTATCCCCGAAGCTCACCCAAGCTGCCGACGAGGACATGATATACTTTCAATACGAAGGTAAGCTTCACTCTTACTACAATGACACAGCGGT